GGAATGAAAACATACCAGGTGGAACAAGAAAAATAACTCAGACCCCTACTGTTTCCGAACCTAGAACATCCGGGTGGCAGAATGAGCGAGTTACCCACTGCGCCACAGGGGATAGGCTTTGACCTTCGCAAACACACCAAAGCAGTCCCAGCAAGGGAAAAAAACACACCCTTTCTCCCCCCCCCCAACCAAAAATAACCTCCTTTTTTCACCTGACCTTGTAATACTTAAGGGATACCAGAATCCAAAATCGAATTCTGTTGGGTATACTATGGATTTTTTTGTGTGTGCGTGACAACAAATAATGGGACAGGTCCTCTATTTTTAATTTATTGCATGAAGTAAGAATCGATACATACTGGGGAAAGGAACCTTTTTCTATTTCAATTTTCTCCTGACGTGTTCTACTTCACTACCCTTCAATGTACTGGTGTGTAAATCACGACATTGATTTTGTGATGCCGTCTATTACAAAGGCTCAGATCACAACAGAAAGTCGATATTGTCAAAATATGAAAATTTTGAAATACTTTTAATAAAGCGAAAATTTAAGAAATAAAAATAAAAATAAAATAAAATAAAGCTAAAAAAAAACTCCCACACAACAACAAAATGTACAACAATGAATCAAAACCACACTCATGAAAGCACTTAGCCGCCTACAACCAACGTAAACATTAATTGTTGAGGCGATTTAGTATGACAGCCAGCACAGCAAACTAGTGGTTTTTATCACAAACATACAGAAGTGCACACATGATTTAAATTAAACATATCAACGCACAGCCAAGCACGCTACAGCATGGTTTATAAATAGATCTTTACATCAGTGCTCACCAAATTACCTTTCAGAACTTATGGCAATTTTCGCACCCATCTCGTAATTTAAGATCTTCATGACCAGCAGCTCTGGTCCAGAACAGTGTTGGGTGAAAGGGCCTCTTTCAATTGATCAATTTAAATCAAAGTTGAAGACAATGTTTGTCAGGAAAGTATATTTATAAGGCTGAAACTCTATATCTGAAATATCTGTCTGTTTATTTATTTATTTATTTAATGTATGCATGTCGTAGTGGTACTGAGCTTTAGAGCTTGTGTGTGTGCATGTGTGTGTGTGTGTGTG